GGATTAGAACTGCTGACCTTTTGGTTAGCAGCCAAGCTCTTAACCACTACACCACCAGGGCGCCTTCCTCCTCTAGACTCCTCCAGTTTCCCTCTTCTCCACCTTTTGGCACAAGATTTCCTTAGACTTTTCTCAGGTTACGGCGTCAAAACTGCTAGTTGGTCTGAACCAAGACAACATATATTTCTACAAAAGCGGGTTTGAAGTTGGCCTTGGGTAAAAGGAGATGGAACAAAGGCCCTAAGAGAGGAGGATGGGGAAAAAGCAAAGTAATAACTTCCACAGGAGGAGTTGGTAACTTTACAGAACAAGCTTACTTGAGCAAACACATGTCTGTCTTTGATTGGAATAAGATAAACAAAAATATCACCACAACTGGCTGAATACCAGAAGTCAGTGGTGTAGGTAAGGTGTCTTCCTGTATCTGGGGAGAGTACCTCAGTGGGAAGAGGGGTAGGTGAATAATAAGTTTTCTGCTTCTTTGTCTTATGTGTCATTAGCAGGGCTGTGGCTTTGATTACATAAATTGAGGAACCTGATGTATAAAACCCAATAACTGTGATACCAAGTCTGAGAAGGTTACATCACTTGACAGTCAGAATTACTTATGAGTCTTTCCCATCTGTAGTTAACTTCCCTATATGACCACTTTGGATTTCTGATTCACCTTTTCTCTGAGTCACCATCTCCTGACCCCTGATGGTTCTCTCCCTATTCCCACCCGCCCTGGTCCTCAGCTGGGGAAATCTTGTCTCTGTTCACCTTATCTCATCCCAAGCATTGATAATGTGTTTGTTCTGAAATGTCATCCAGTTTTCCTGTGTTCACAGTTTTTGTTTAATTTGTGCATTTCTTTCAGGACCTTTGCCTCATTTCGTTTCTTTTCAAGGTCATTTATATTTCCTTTATTCAAGAACTTGAATTTAATCTTTTTTCCCCCTCTTTAGTGGCTTTATAGTCATGTAATCCTGAGACAAGAGGCCACGTGGGGTTAGTGGTGGAAAAGTCAGGCCTATTCTAATATAGGGGAAGAGGGACTGGGTCCTTAAGGCAGAGTGGCTGTAAGCATAAACAATTTGATTATTTACCGTTTTTTTAAAAAAGCATTAAGTGTGTTTGTGTAAAATGAGATTGTTTGGCTGAATAATAGGGCAGTGGAAATGGTGCTTAAAAGCGCCTTTCTTTGCTCAAATGTTTGTAAACCCAAACTTAAGAAACCTTAGTATTTGGAAACATGAATTTTCCAGTAAACAAAAAGTTCTCTCCTTAACAAACAGAAGATTAATTTTACATGTAAGGGAAATTTTTATTGAGAAAGAGCGGCTGCTACAGTATTTAGTAAACTAGGAATTTGTATAAGTTTTGCTCATCATTTTATTTGTGTACTCCTAGTAATAGAAATATCAGTTTCAGGTTCTGTATAGAAATAACTGTATTAATTTGATTGTTTAAACCTGTTTACCTACTGTTTGTAATGATCTTAAAATATCTTGCTACCAGAATACAATACCATCTCATATGATATGTATTTTTGTGGCAAATGATGTCTTTTAACGTTTTAATATAAATAAAAACACTTGTTTCATCATAGCACTAATTAATGTTGAGAATACTCCATTCTGTAGAAAGAATTATGTAATGCTCTGCCTTCCCCCATTTCTGACCCTAAAAGTTTATATGTGGAATAGAGTTCTTTTTAAAATCTAGAAGGGAGTTTTGGTCATTTTTAGTGTTTTATTTATATCCAGACCCATGCTATCATCCTTAAATATGAAGAACACTAATTCTTATAAATGGCAGTCTTGACATTTAAGGAATCTAACTAATAGTTCAATTGTGTTTTGAATTCAGATTGAATTAGAAGTAGAATCTTGGGTTTTCATCTAGGTTAAGATCTTAAGCAGTTAGCTTTTTTTCTCAATCAGGATTCTGGGAGTTAAACACAAAGTAATTTGAGTGAATGTTTGCTGAATTCTTCCAAGGATGGTACAGAGCTAGATGCGTAGGAGAGAAGTTAGTTCGTTACCTGCAATGGATGCCTTAGGGCGTATTGGCTTAAATCTCTCATCATGGAACCCAGATGAGAAGAGTTACTAGAACATGTACATGTAAGGGGATAATTTATTTTGAATGAAAATGTCCGTAGCTGTTTCTAAAAATTGGGTCATTGACCAGTTTCCCAAAGTGTCGACACCAGAACTTCAGAGCTACTGGTTATTTTTTTTTACCCTTTGAGGTGGACCTCAAATTCTCTTTGAAAGCAGTACAAGTAATAAATGAATTTATTCATTCATTTGTTCATATACTGATCTATTCATACATTATTTTAGTTGGACTGTTTTTATTTATTATCTACGGGTACCAGAAAAGCCAAATCCACTGCCATCAAGTCCATTCTGACTCATAGCGACCCTATAGGACAGAGTAGAACTGCCCCATAGGGTTTCCAAGGAACAGCTGGTGGGTTCGAACTGCTGACCTTTTGGTTAGCAGCTGTAGCTCTTAACCAGTACGCCACCAGGGTTTCCTATCTGTAAGTAAGTAGGTGTTCAGATTTTGTGTTATTCTGTTTCATTGGTATATGCGATATAATTACTTCAGCCTAAAGAATCTTCTTGCCATGCCCATATAGTGTTCTATTGACATTTTATCCTTAATTAATTTCATTTAAGGCAAAGATTTTTTGGAAAAAATATTTTCATCTACTAAGAAACAGTTTAAGATCATTAATAGTATACTGTCCTAAATTTATATTATGATCCTTGTATTTCAAGTTTTTCTTATATTTCTTGATTCAGTCATCTTGTAAAAAAGCTGCTAATATAATTTCAAGTATTTTTATTTTGCCAAGCAAATTGTGTATTTTGTAAATATTTATCCATTATTTATTAGTCTACTATATAATAATTATAAAATTATTTGCATGTAAATATAAGTCTTAAGAACATTTTAGAAAGGGACAATACACTATAAAACTTTCTTACATTGAACTGTATCTCTTCACTTTAAAATCCAGACATAGTTCAGAAAACACTTAAAGTGAAATTAATATTTCAGTTGAAGTAACAAATGTAATTTCCATCCTGTCATATTTTAGTGACCTTTTGTGACAGCTTGTCTCAATTGGAGGAAAGCATTTTTACTTGCTGATTAAAGATGTCATTTGAAACCATTTTATTACTGGGGATAGTTAAATTAATCTTGACACTTAGAACCACTAGAAAAATAATTGCTGATTCACTGCATAAAATGTGTATGTGAACCAATCATGTAGTCAAGATTAGAATAAAAGTCTGCTTGTTAAAGAGAGATTAAATTTTCTTACGAATGGTCCTAGATTCTTTTGAAGGGGAGGGAATACCACAGAAACAATTTCAACAAAATGAAATGTTGCTTAAAGAGGTTTTGGAAGAACTTGGAGATGATTATGGAATCAAAGGCAGGAGGTAGACTGTGGTAAAATTTAAAATTTATCGTTCAGTATGGAAGAAAGCATAGGAATGCTTCTCAGTGTTATTTAATGAAATATTTTTAAAGTGTACATTATTAGTGTAAGATATGTCATCCCAGTTCAAATATTATTTTACAATAAAGGGTCCATATTTACATCCTTTTTTGTAGGAGCTTAGAATAATGTACCAGTGGAGTATAGTTGCATATGATTTGTACCCTAAAGCGTTGGGCAGGGTGGTGAGCACCTACAACAAATGCTTGAATTGATGAGTTTTTTTCTTACTCTGTGACTTTGTTCTCATTCGATATGACTTCCATATCAGACTACACGTTTATAAGGTCATTCTTCACAGAATAAACCTTCTATAAATCTGAAAATTTGAATGAGTTTTTCATTTTTTATGAGATTAACTATATTTGACTTCAGAGTGATTTCATTAATAGTTTTGTTTTTAAATCAGAGCAACCAATACTTTGTTTTTTGAGTCTTTGTACCGCGTAGTATTAATACTTCTCTCACTGGCTTCATTGTGGAAATTGTACTTGTGTAGGGACTGGTGTAGCCAACTTCTGACTGCTGTCAGTAGCTGTTTCTGAAAATTGGGTGTCAATGACCAATTCAAGAGAAAAGGATTGCAAAATGCCTAGCACTTTAAGGGCAGCAGTTAAATTTAACTTCAAACCCCACCCCCCTTTAGCTTCCCTCAGCATATTTTAGCGGTCTCGAATGAAAATATTTTAAAACATGTAGGAGATAACTTGTACTTTATTACAAAGGGAAAGCCTGTCTTCATTGGACAGATACAACTAATGGGTAATGAGTGTTACTGATTCTATTGTATTTGCTACTACTAGTTTAGTATTTATTGAGGGTGAAGCACTTGCTGTTCCAGTATTTCATTATCATGTGTCTCTTTCCTATTTTCTCCCTACAAATCTATTGTAGCTTATTTGAAGGTATCTAATACATATGCGTTTTTTCAAATAGAACTTTCAGCAGAAGCCAAAGCTGCATTGCTTGAATTTGAAGAAAGAGAGCGACAGCACAAACAGGGACGCTATGGTTCAAGGCGGGGAGGAAGGAGAGGAGGTTCTTTAATGTGTCGTGGAATGGGAGACCAGAGAAGAGAGAACAGTGACAGGGGAAGAATAAAAGATCACAGACCTGCTCTGCTTCCGACACAGCCTCCTGTAGTGGTAATTTTTCCGATTTTATTGTGGTAGCCTTAAACTTTAGAACAAATGAAAAGTGCTTTTGTAGGTATTATTTTCTTTTATCTCTGCTTAATCTGAGATTAAAGTTTAGTAATGGGAATAATTCTTTATGATCTATAATATGATTGCATATATAGTCTTTACGTTCAGCTCCCTAGTAATCTGGTAGTAAGAAATAATTTGTACTATAACTAACTTACAAATAAAGATTAAGAGACCTGATGTCCTCAAATGGCAAAAACCACAAAGGAGCTTTGGCTTTATCTTTTGCCTATGTAGAAGTGCCCCTCTTAAGTATACCAGCACTTAAAATACTGAATTTACAAGCCATGTAATTTAGGCAATGGTTATTTATTTTACAAAAATATTTTTTCACTTATACTGTTTACCATAGGTTTTCCCTAAGTATCAGTTTCTGTCAGAGTAATTCTGATATCCTATCCATAAAAACTTTGATATAAATATTTTTTATAATCTAGAAGTTATCATGTATTTGTCATTTCAGTTTAATTTGAATTTCCTCTGTTTCAAAAACAGGACATCTCAGAAGCTAAGACAGAGAAATTGTAGTGATTTTTAATTTAGTTAGCTTTAGGATTTTATGGCTTTTTCCTTCAGATGCCAGTCTTCAAAGACAAATTCTATTTAATGCAAATGTGTGTTCACTGTGTCTACCACATGTCCATCTTTTTATATGAATCTGGAGGAAAACCACACTTTTCCTCTGTGTAGAAATGTCAGATGTTCAGAGGCATACATTTGTGAAATAACAAAGTAGAAAAGATTATTTATTGTTTTAGCATGAGAATTCCAATTCTGATATAAAGGAAGGAAGAGGAGCTGTGGGTTAATTATAGCATACAGAATTTGATGACATTAGTGACTGCTATTTGTTCACTAAACTATTTTGTTTTTAAAAAAATGAAAACAAACCTGTTGCCATGGAGTCGATTCCAACTCATAGCGACTGTAGGACAGAGTAGAACTGCCCCATAGGGTTTCCAAGACGTGGCTGGTGGGTTTGAACTGCAGACGTTTTTTGGTTAGCAGCCGAGCTCTTAACCACTATGCCACCAGGGCTCCGTTTTGTTCTTCCGCATCTCTAATAAAAAAAAGGCTCGACCTTCATTTTCTTTTTTTTTTCCTTTACCATCCTCCTCACCTATTCTCATGTCCGCCTCAGCGTACACTTGCCATATGTTTAATAAAACAATTTGAGTTATTTTGGTTTGCTGGGGGGAAACAGCCACACAGGAGACCAGTTTTTGCTTAGCTGTGACCCTGTAATCTTGGAAAAGTCACTGAACTCCTTGTTTTCTTACCCATGAAGAGGAAGTACTTGACTAGCCTACCTCATTCAGAGAGGATAAACTGAGAGAATATGTAAATGCATGAAAAAGTGTTTCAGAAATTTGAGTTGACCTGAATCTTGAGGTAGATATAGTAGCTGGAATTCTTTTTTTTTCCCCCACCACTTTTTACTGCTAAATAATATTTTATTCCATGAATATGCCACAATTTATTCATTTTTTTCTACTGATGTACACAGATTGTTTTGCTGTTAAAAAGCTGCAATGAACTTTTATACATATATTCTTATGATACATTTGAGAACTTCTCCAGCCCTCTGTCAAGAGTGAAATTGCTGGCCAGGGAGTATTTGCATGCTCATCTTTACTGGATATTGCCACAAGGCCTTCCAAATTGGTCATGTTGTTGTTGTTAGGTGCCCTCGAATCAATTCTGACTCATACCGACCCTATGTACAACAGAACGAAACACTGCCTGGTCCTGTGCCATCCTCACAGTCGTTGTTATGCTTGAGCCCATCGTTGCAGCCTCTGTGTCAGTCCATCTTGTTGAAGGTCTTCCTCATTTTTGATGACCCTCTGCCTTATCAAGCATGATGACCTTCCAGGCACTGGTCCCTCCCGATAACATGTCCAAAGTACATGAGACGAAGTTTCGCCATCCTTGCTTCTAAGGAGCGCTCTGGCTCTACTTCTTCCAAGAAGATTTGCTCGTTCTTCTGGCTGTCCGTGGTATATTCAGTATTCTTTGCCAGCACCATAATTCAAAGGTATCAATTCTTCTTTGGTCTTCCTTATTCAGTGTCCAGCTTTCACATGAATATGAGGCGATTGAGAATACCATCTCAATGCTTGGGTCAGGTACACTTTAGTCCTCAGAGTTACACCTTTGCTTTACAACACTTTAAAGGGGTCTTTTGCAGCAGATTTGCCCAATGTAATGCATTGTTTGATTTCTTTCTTCTTCTTCTTTTTTTTTTTTTTGGGAGCTTTATATTGGTTTATTGTTGTAGTTTAAATGAAGTTTACGTTTCAAGTTAGCCTCCTGTACAAAAACTTATACATACATTGTTACGTGACCCTAATTGCTCTCCCCATACGGTGACAGCACACTTCTCCTTTCCACTCCTGATTCCCCATGTCCATTCAACCACCTCCTAGCCCTCTTTGCCTTCCCAGCTCACCTCCAGACAGAAGCTGCCCATCTAGTCTCTTGTATCTACTTGAACTAAGAGGCACACTCCTCATAAGTATCACTTTATGTCTCACAGTCCAGTCCAATCCCTGTCTGAAGAGTTGGCCTTGGAAATTGTTTTAATTCTGAGCTGATAGAGAATCCGGGGGCCATGCTTTCCGGGGTTCCTCCAGTCTCAGACCATTAAGTCTGGTCTTCTTACTAGAATTTGAGTTCTGTACCCCACCTTTCTCCTGCTCCATCAGGGACTCTTTTTGTATTACCTGTCAAGGCAGTCATTGGTGGTAGCTGGGCACCATCTAGTTCTTGTGGTCTCAGGCTGATGAAGTCTCTGGTTTATGTGACCCTTTCTGTCTCTTGGGCTAATACTTTCCTTGTGTCTTTGGTGTTCTTCATTCTCCTTTATTCCAGGTGGTTGGGACCAATTGATGCATCTTAGATGACTGCTTGCAAGCTTTTAAGACCCCACATGCCACTCGCCAAAGTAGGATGCAGAACATTTTCTTAATAAGCTTTGTTATGCCAATTAATCTAGATGTCCCCTAAAAGCATGATCCCCAGACCCCTACCCCTGGTGTCCCTCAGAGTGTTTGATTGTATTCAGGAAACTTCTTAGCTTTCGTTTAGTGCAGTTGTGAGTAGCTGGAATTCTAATGTGACTGGTCTGGACTTTTAAAGGTAACTGAAGTAGGAATAAACCAAATAGCTGACCTGACTAAGCCAAATGGAGCTTTAGACTTTAAGCTGTATTCTAATACTTACTAGTCAGTGATGTTTTAAAATCGCCAGTTTATTGAAAAGAGCAAGGCTATCTGAAATGAACTTAATTTCACCTTCCACTGCCCCCCGCCAAAATTACAGACTTCCTTTGATCCTGCTCACCCCCCACCCCCCACCCCAGAGCTATTCTGTCTCTTTAACTCTTCACTCTCCAAATTCTGGAAAGAATATTCTTTACTCATATCTTTGCTTCTTCTCATTTTCTGTTGGTCCCTTACTACCTGGATTTCACTATAGTGAATTGTACTCTCAGAATTGCCACTTTACTTTTTGTTCTTATCCTGTTTGACTACCTTTTTCTTGAGCCTCTTTTTTGAGTGTATGATATTTTACTCTCTTCTGTTATAGCTCTGCCCCATCTCTCTCTATTTTCCTTTTTTTTAGTTGCAGTGTTCCTCAGGGTTTTGTTCTTAATCTTTTTTTTATTCAGTATTCTCATTTGGCAATGTTATCCTTGTTGTCATCTGCTGTCTCTGTGAATCTTAGTCTCTAAGTTTTTAAGTTCTAGATTCTCCATTTCCCAGCTATCCATGTGTATCTCCAAATGGATGTTTCACAGGCTCTAAACTTCACTTGCTCAAAACAACATGTAGTCTTTCCCTCAACTCATTTATGCTCTTGAGTTAATGACCATGCATTGTGGTCATTTTCAGTTCAGTTCAACTTTACCTCAGATATGCCTGTGTCAATTAATGTGCAGATATGTGGGGATACAGATGTGAATATGATAGACAAGATCCCTGCTCTTACAAGTAATTATAGTTGTGATGAGTTAGAGAAGGGAATGTACAGGATTCTGTGAGAATGTATCACAGCAGATTTAAACTAGTACCGGAGTCTTTGGAAAAGTCCTTCCTGAGGAAGGGGTTAGTTATGCTAAGGCCATATACAGTTTGGTTTCAAGATTCGATTCAATGTACCTCGGAAGTGTCTCTCCCTGACTGCTCTTCTTCCTCAAGCCATGACCATTTCTTCCATTGAACTCTTGCCAAACCTATTAAATGCTCTTCTTCTTCCACTTTTATACCTAGTCCATTTTACTCATTGTTAGCAGTAATCTTCCTAAAACACATTGCCCTCTGTCTTAGTTATCTAGTGCTGCTATAACAGAAATACCACCAGTGAATGGCTTTAAAAAACAGAGGTTTATTCTCTCACAGTCTAGTAGGCTAGAAGGCCTAATTCAGGATGCCAGCTCCAGGGGAAGGCTTTCTCTCTCTGTTGGCTCTGGAGGAAGGTCCTTGTCATCAATCTTTCCCTGGCCCAGGAGCTTCTCAGTGCAGGGATACCAAGTCCAGAGGATGAGCTCTGCCCCTGGCACTACTTTCTTGGTGATACGACATTCCCCATGTCTCTCTGCTTGCTTCTCTCTCTTAAAAGAGATTGATTTAAGACACAGCCTAATCTTGTAGATTGGGTCCTGCCTCATTAACGTAACTGCCATTTATCCCACCTCATTAACATGGAGGTAGGATTTACAACACATAGGAGAATCATATCAGATGACAGAATGGTGGAGAATCACACAATACTGGCAGTCATGGACTAGCCAAGTTCACATACATTTTTGGGGGACACCATTCAATCCATAACACCCCCCAAAGAGATCATCAGTGATTCCTCGTTATACACATTGTATATGGCATAATAACAAAATCATTTGTTTGCAGTTCAAAAGCCCACCATAATTTGGCACCATCAAAGGTAAAAACAGCTGTTGTACTAGACAGCTGATATGTAATATCCTACTGCCTCTGCTGTTAAGGGGCAATATGGCCAATATTGAGTAGTGAGTGGTTAAAAGTACAGCTTTTGAAATCCGATTGTCTGAATTCAAATCTCAGCTCTTCTACTTACCAGCTACTTGACTGAAACAAGAAGAACAGTAATAGAGCTTACCTCATAGGATTATTGGGAGGACCAAGTCAGTTAATTTATATGCTAACTTTTAAGTAGGTACTTAAAACATGGGAAGAACTCAGTACACATTAGCTGTGGCTGCTGCTGTTGTTATTGTTACTGATTTCCTCTCTGGTGACTCTGTTAGACAGAATAACCCAAGATCTGTGACCACTTTAAGTGTATAATTTCTACACCCTTGCCTTCCTTCATCTTCTTTGTGTGACTGTAGCCATACTGGTCTCCTTTTAGTTGACTGAACAGGTGACTATTTCTGCCTCTGTGCTTCCTTCAGCGTATTCTGTTATTCTCCCCTCATGGCACACCTCTTCTCTTCCTTCAGAACCTAGTTCAAATACCGCCTTCTCAAAGAAGCTTTTCCCTATCCCCCTAGTGGAATTATTCTCTTCCCCACTTCTCTCTTTCTAACACTTTGTGCTGCTTTTTCACCGCGTTTCTGTAACAGAGTTGCTTATGAATGTGTTCTGTCTTTTTCCCCTAGATTCTGTGTAGGACAGGGAGTAGGCTGTGCATGTGGGGAGGGCTGAGAGCAGCTTGTCTCTAGTACCCAGCACGGGACTGTACTCATTGTCACGGTTTTGTTTGTTGAACTGGATTATTTTCCTTTCATAATTCATGCCAGGTATTTTGGGACGAATATTTTTTTCTTTCTTGCCTTGAAAAAATTGACTCACATTATGTGAATAAGCAGAGGAGTTTATTTATATTGCTATTTATATATAAATGTAACTAGGAGTTTATTTCTTAAAGAGTAACTTCTAAAATTTAATCCATGTAAATCTGTAACACATCAGCATTCTTTTGCTTTTCTTCTAAATGTTGATTTCTATGAATTTTTCTTTTTTTGTGGATTTTAGACTCATTCTCCAAGATTAATTCCTCCTCCACAGCCGCAGCCTCCACCTCCACCACCACCACCTCCTCAGCAGCAGCCAATTAGAAGCCTGTTCCAGCAGCAGCAGCTCCAGCCTCTGCTTCCCTTACAGCATCCTCATCACCCCTCTCCTCCTCAAGGAATGCATATGCCTCCCCAGATAGAAACCCCGAGAATAATGATGACCCCACCTCCAGTGACTCCACAGCAGCCCAAGAACATACATATAAATCCACATTTCAAAGGAACTGTAGTAACTCCTGTCCAAGGTATGTTTGTTTTTCTCCTCTGTTTTAATGTTATAGGTTACTATGCATCTGAACGGCATTTATCAATCTTTTTTCACTGTGGCAAAATAATTTTCACATTCAAGTTTGTACAGATAAGTTGATTCCTTCTCCCACCCATATAGACACATTTTAGCTTGATGGACCAAGTTCATTTGTTTAAACATTTGAATCACTTATTTTATAAATTAGTTTACAGTACTGAGAAAATAATTTAAAGAACATATTAGAGATAATTGTTGAAATGTGTATGTTGTTACAGTTCATGAATTTCATGGTGAAAATGTAGTAATAAGTGTTAATCTTCAGGGTTCACTTAGTGTGCACCATGTTAATTCTAGTGTTAGCTGGTTGGGAGGTACAAATCCATTTTCAAATTATTGTAATTGAATAACTGCTGATGTTATCATTACAGAAACATGTCCCTGAAGCTAGGAAACTATTTTTGAGCAATTTATATGAAACATAGCTTCACACATCTGCTTAACAAATATTTATTGAGCTATTACTGTGTCCAGCATTTGAGATATATTGGTGAATAAAAACAGGCAAAACTTATGCAGTCATAAACCTGGCTTTCTAGCAGAGAAAGGCAGTCAATAAGCAATAGACTTGATAAGTAAAGGTTTTATGTGGCTTGTTAGGAGAGGTAGGAAGAAGAGGAGGGGCTCGCAAAGGAGGTTGGGAAGGAGTGACTTGGAGTAGAGATGAAAACAAGAGTGTAGAGAACTAGAAGCCAAATGAAGAATGTATCCAAGAGGGGCAGGAGTCAAGTAAGGTATGGACTATGCTGCCATAGTACTTACCACTCTAGCGCACTTGCTCACCAAATCCTCCTACAAGAGTAAGCTGAAGGGCAAGGAGTATGCACAGCCTTCCGTTTTCTCCTCAGTGACTAGCATGGTGCCTGTCTCTTATTAAATATCTGTTGAGTGAACAAATGGCATGCATCCCCGCCTGGGGAATGGACGACTCAATAATCCTTGGCATATTGTTACTTAAATTGTTTCCCTAAATGTGGAACTGCAGTAATTCTCATTTGATTAATTTTACTTACGTTGGTATCTGTTATTTGTCATGTATTCCCTTGTAAAATTGAATGGAAAACTGGTAGTTTGTAAGGTGCATAAATTTTCTTTACCCTAAGAAAAATACAACAGTGTTAGAGCTACAAAGTGGTAAACCTAGAAGGAAACTCTAAGATGTCTTCTAGGTATTGAAATGATGCACTTTGCCCAAAGTCAGCTGTCTAACAGGTACAGAATGCAGGTGTTGCACCCCAGACCTCATGCAAATACAAGAACTGGTTTCTGACCAAAGTTTTTAAACTCGTAGAACCAGCTAAATTTTTTTTCAACACGAAGTAGGTAGCTTTAGTGCCACACATTTTTTATCATTTTACCTTTTATCTGCCATGTTTTTCCCTCCATTTATCTTCAAAGATAACATTGATGCAGGTAAGAGAGGGAAGAATTGTCCTTGTTGGGTATAGATACAGAGAAACTTTCAAAGCAGTTGATTATGCAGTAGTAAATGAATGAGCTTAAATAGAAACCCATAGTTCTTAAGAGAGGCTAAATATCAGACGTCTCCTATATAAACAAGATCTCTAGATTAAACCCGTGATTCTCAGAGCTTTGGGATTCCTTGGCCTTGCTGAGGGTTTTCTGAACTGGGGAATTTGAGACAAGAGGGAGAAGAGGGTAAAGAGGTTAAAAGGGGAAGACAAGTGGGGAGAGATGGGGACTGAGGGAGGGACAGATGGAGGGTTAGGACAGATAGCACCTGGAGTAGGTACAGATAGACAGGGACAGATAACAGGCAGAAAGACAGGAACAAGTAGGGACGGAGAGGGAGCCGATGGGGAGTGTGGGAGCAGGAGGTAAGGGAGAGCCACACCAAGCAGGTATGGTTCTGGGACCTTTTCTCCCACCTTTATTTTTCATCAAAGCAGGTCCATTTTTATCTAGTTTAGCCCTGGTGGCATAATGGTTAAGTGCTATGGCTGCTAATCTAAAGGTTGGCAGTTCAAATCTTCCACTGCCGACCCTTTGGGGAGTTCTGCTCTGTGCTGTGGTGTTGCTATGTGTCAGAATCGACTCAACAGCAACGGGTTTGGTTTTTTGGTTTTGTTCAAAGGAATCAATCCTCTTATCTAATAGGACAGCATCAACACTGTTGGCCAGTTAATGGTATAAGCTTATTAAGGTGGGAGAAGTCATAAAAACATCACTTTAAGGAATTTGTGTCATTTTTTTTTTAACCTCAGACACGTAACTAGGCATTTGCTGACCACCAGTGTTTAGATAGAGCCCCAAGGTCTTTTCATTGAGTGAGGGTCTGCTTATGAGCGTTCTGCATCCCCTTCCTTACACTAACACCCCAGAGTGCATCTTCTCTGGTTTCTGCCTTCATTTTCTTTGAAGTGAAGCAAAAACTTCTGCAAAGCAATCATGAGTACAAAATCTTTTCGAGATTTTTCCTTTTCTGGGAGTTATTGGGGAGGAAAATGGTTAGGTGACCCAGTGTGATTTTATAACTGCTGAGGCTGTGATCTCTTGGTTAGTGAGATTCTCGTCTGTGCGAGAGTTGTTCTAGTCATAGTCATTAACGAGCTGCTTATGAACTAGTAATAGAAATAAAGAAGTCAGGGCCAAGTTACCAGGAGGTTCTTGTAGACCATTTATATAGTAGCTGACATGTTGACTGAAGATTGATATTCTGACAATTTATTGATACCTTCTTTAATATTTTATGCTTATAAATATTCAATACTGATATAATTTTTGATAGGGCACCATTTAGTATCAGAATGGTATCTATGATGGATTCGAATAACAAGTGGACAAATGCTTATTAATATCAGGAAGAGCTGAATGGTACTCTTGGTATATTCATTAATGTCTTTTAAAAAAGATAAGTGTATAAAGTTAATTGCACGCTTATATTAAATATTAAAAAGAATTTAATTCTCTTCTTTTTAAAGTGGTGCTGAGATGGCAGATAAGTAGGCATGTCCTCGTGCTTGCAATCCCAGTAGATTGCCAGGCTTCTGCTAGGACAGTTTGAAAACACTGTGGCAGTTTGACAAAGGCTTTCTCTATGGGACTGTGGTAGATTTTTGTTCTCAGCTACTCTCTCTTATCAACTTACATTGTTTTTCTCTCCTGCCACTTATCATTGTTTTCTACACAATTTATCTTAAAAAAAAAAAAAAAAAGCTGATACTTTATGGAAACTGCCAGCTAATCCAGAAGCTTCTATGTAAGCAATCCATTAATTATAACCAGATTTCTTCCCAGAGATTCTTCCTAGATTTCTTGCTTCCTTTCCTTCCAGTTAATGAGGTTTAAAATTTTCACCCTTTCATTGTATTGGAATTATGTGATAGTCATTGACATTTGAATTCTAGGTTTAAAAGTAAGTGGTACACATGATAGAATTTTTGAAGATTCGGGTATTTTATATTTGGTAGTTAATTTAAAAAATATTGTCTTTACGTTGTTTATGGTTTTTTTCCTCCTCACCCTCATTGTAATCTTTTGAATGCAGAGCTATTCTAGTTTTTTCTTTCTCTGCTTCATAATCTAATATTTTGCTTCAAATACATGATCGTGTACTAGGATCCCATTTTATATAAAGTGTTGCACATTGACCCACCCTGATTTTGAAATTTAGACTTACTGGATTAATCTCTCAAGGGAGGGATGAACACTTGCCACTTTTACGTACTATAAAAGTAAGTTTTTTTCAGTCATACTTTCCATTTGATCAGTGACATAGGCGCATACATACTGTCATTTTAGGTTGAACCTGTGGAAATATATTAACTGTAAGGCTCAATGTATGGAATTCCTTGAGTAAACATAGTAAATAAAAAATAGTTTATCCTAGCACTCGTATTTTTTTTTTCGGGGATAGTCTTATTATTATTGTGGTTTAGATAAAGGTTTATAGAGCAAATTAGTTTCTCATTAAACAGTTAATACAAATATTATTTTGTGACATTGGTTGCCAACCCTGCGATGTGTCACCACTTCCCCCTCCTTGACCTTGGGTTCCTCATTTCCATTCGTCCAGCTTTCCTGTCCCCTCCTACTTTCTTGACTTGCCCCTGGGCTGGTGTGCCTGTTTAGTCTCCTATATGTGGTTGAGCTACAAATATTATTGTTTGTTTTATGGGCCTGTCTAATCTTTGGCTTAAGGGTGAATGAGCCTCAGGAGTGACTTCAGTACTAAGTTAAAAGGACGTCTGGAGGCCGTACTCTTGGGGTTTCTCCAGTCTCTGGCAGGCCAGTAAGTCTGATCTATTTTTTTTTGTGTGTGTGAGTTAGAATTTTGTTCTGCATTTTTCTCAAGCTCTGTCCGGGACCCTGTATTGTGATCCCTGTCAGAGCGGTCAGTGATAGTAGCCGGGCACCATCTAGTTGTGCTGGACTCAGTCTGGTAGAGGCTGTGGTAGTTGTGGCCCATTCGTCCTTTGGATTAATCTTTCCCTTGTGTCTTTGGTTTTCTTCATTCTCCCTTGCTCCAGACGGGGTGAGACCAGTGGAGTATCTTAGATGGCCGCTTACAAGCTTTTAAGACCCCATACGTGACTCACCAAAGTAGGATGTAGAACATTGTCTTTATAAACTATGTTATGCCAGTTGAGCCAGATGTCCCCCGAGACCATGGTCCCCAGCCTTCAGCCCAGTAATTCAGTCCCTCAGGGAGTTTGGATGTGTCAGTGGAGCTTCCGTGACCTTGCCTTGGACAAGTTGTGCTGGCTTCCCCAGTACTGTGTACTGTCTCACCCTTCAACCACAGTTAACCACTTATCTATTGTCTGTTTAGTGTTCTTCCCTCCTCACTCCTCCCCTTCTTATAACTATCAAAGATTGTTTCTTTCTGCGTGTAAATCTTTTTATAAGTTTTTATCATAGCCTAGCACTCTATTTTTAAGGTAATTTTTATTGGATCTTAAGATATATCATCTGTATTTCTCAATTACCAGAAATTTCTTAAATTAAAAATATGCTACATTATAAAATTTACCTGATTATCTGATAGTTTGTATTATCTGGCAGAACATTTTAATGAAAGCTATAACATGCACTGTATTGTGCTTTTTTTCCCCCAGATCAAGATCAGTATAGCGCATAAATTTTAAAGAGCTTAAACACATCCGATTTAGCTCCAGTGTCTGAAACTAGTATCTAACTTCTGTACTGTAAAATGTCTGTTTTGAAATTATTTGATTCCTTGTTCTTTGAGTAAATTGATAGGAATTCTGCTTGTTTAAAAACAAAATCTGAACAAAAGAAAAGAGAGTCTTGACATAAAAGATGGTGTAGCCTCTTTGTGATGGCGTGTGCGCGTTTTCTCCAGTACTGAGGCTGCGTGGGTTTTCCGTTCCCTGCCTGCCTTCCTGCCTCATTTTCCCCTCCCTCTTCTCTCTGTGATTCTAGAGAGTCTAGATTTAAATTTGTATTTAATTGGGGTAGGAATATATAATTGGTGTTGATAACCTGGATAGGGATGTGATAAGCAAACTGGGTTTTTTATTTTAGAGGAATACTACCTGTTTTGTTGCAAAGTATTTTAATATGAGGAGTAATTCCCTGTTGAAATTTAAACTTCTGCTTGTGCTAAACTGGATGCTGAAAATAGAAGTTCTCCTCTCCCCGTTCCTCTTACTGAATGGTTAAAAATATTAAAGATGGTATATATTTTATATTAAACTTCATATATTCCTTTTTGTAATAGGATCAATGTTTAGTAAAATACATCAGTAATGAAAGGTGCTTTTCCTTTTAGTGCCCTTGCTGCCACTTCCGAGCCAGCCAAGACCTGCTGTAGGACCCCAGAGATTCCCAGTGAGTAGCAGCTGTTCCTTCTGATGTGATATGGATAAGCATACATTTACAAGGAAATATTAATATCGCAAATACAAGTGGTTCCAGCTAAATATAATTTTAAGGATTTGTAAATATTGACAATAATCTCTGCAGTTGAAAATGTTTGTTAAAAGCTTAAGGTCAATGGATTTTTGAGAATGGAATTAATTTTGTTTAACTGTAAAATTGTTGAATCAGAATCATCAGTGGAATGCCTTTCAACTTAAAGAATATGGATTTTCATTTTATTATTGCCTTCTTATGTTAAGTGCAAAAGGTCCTTGATTTATTACAGGATGTATGTGTGTGTGTGTGTATGTGTGGTTATGTGCATGAAATTCTAGGGAATAAAAATGAGATCTCTACTTGGTTTTCAAAAAAACCTCAAAAGTTTTAATGAACCATTTGTTTTATATTTTAAAATGGAGGATTTCCCTTTAAAATACTTTTAAAAGAAAGCACATGTATTCTCTCTCTCCCCCTCATCTCCCCATGCCCTCTTTTTCTCCCTCTCTCTCTTATACACACATACCCTTTCTGTAACATCATCCATTTTTCTAACATGTAGGTAGAAGAAAAATGTCAATTAATTTTTTTTAAATTTGTGGTTAGATTTCTGGTTATACTAAATGAGGATATGTTCTTTCTGAAAACAATGTTCAAAAAATGGACCAGACCATAAAATTCTAATGTCATTTGTATAAAAAACAGAGGTAGTTTTGTTTAGGCTAAACAACCTAGTTTTCAGGAGTGCCTGAGTGGCCTGTTTGACTCTTTAGCTTTGATACTTCAGTAGATACCGTATTTATATATGACAGTTAGTAAAAAGGTTTTAATGAATTACATATCTAGCTGTATAATCAAGTGATTATTAAATAATAAAATCAGTCCAGAATTCTAAATTTAGGTTATTTTTTAAAACCTCCTTGAGGTATAGTTAATACTTACAAATTATGATATGGTTTCTAAAATTGGTTCTTACTGATTTCGTTTCCTTATATTTAGCTATTTTTTAAAATTACTTACCAAGTTCTGAAAATTATTTTTTAAAAGCTAGGTGACATTTATTGAGTAGCAGTCTCTATTTGAAGCACTTGTTCAAATAGCTAAGATTTGTTAAATAATTACATCACCCATGGATAAGCATGTATGATTTTAGTCATCCGAAACATTTCTTTGGTGAAGCGGTTGAACTGCTAGCTTTTGAAAAGCATTAACATTCTAAGTACTTTCTGCTATTCCTCAGGATTGTGAACATCTATGTTTAAAACCATTATTCAGATTTCTTTCATGTTTTATTTGCATTATAGAGATCATGTTTTCATGTTTTATTTGTGTTACAGGGATAAAATTTGAAGTGAAACAGTAATTGTAATTTAAGAAATTAAACCAAAAACAGTGTTTCACGTGATAGATATTTTTGTAAAAATCTGTTTACTAATATAAAATTCGAATGGTCACTTCCAGTTCTCATCTACTTCTATTTTTCAATTGTGCAAATATAATTATCTGATGCTAGAAGAAGAAAGCCTCATAAGTAAGGCTATTACAAGAGAATAGTAAAAGAAATTTTTTGGTGAGAAGTTGAACCATTTTTAAGTTATATAGCATTCTGAGGTTAGTAAATATTGTTGAACTGCCTTTGGAAAAGTTTCTCCAAGAAATGCTTTCTGTTTTGTTTTTGCGATGGAGGAAGTACCTATGGGTGACTGGAAAGAGTTGGGCTAGGAATTAGCATGTGTGTGATATAGCTTGAGGAATATTATCTTCAACTCAGGTACTTAGCACTGTTTTAACAGGTATTGTGTCTTTCTTTAAGCCCCAAATGTTAGATCTTTAAGTTGAAGTTGTGGTGAACTTGTGGTTTTGAAAATGTTCTACTTATTTCTGTAATCAGTTTCCCTTAAAGAAAATAATCAAGTGTGGAATCTGTTTTTAAAAAATAATGTAGAGGTCTATGTTTTCGTTAAAAAAAAAATCCATCAAAGTACTGTTGGGGAGGGAGAGAAACTCTTTCCAGGTAGTCCCCAATTTACGACATATTTGAGTTAGGACCAGCTATGCTCAGGACCGGCTATTTTTGTTTTTTTATTTTGTACATCTCATCCTTAGTAGTATCTACTACATACAGTGTTGCAGTGTGTCACTTGCTGATGTTATCATTCTCAGACGTTGACTGCAGATGTTCAAAGATGAGATTTATAAAGATACTGATAATAGAAGGCAATAATAATTAATCTTAAAAAAAAAAAAAGCTTTCCTACTTAGGTCAAAACTGGCTTAGGACAGAGTCAACGAAACGGAGCCCGTCCTAAGTCGAGGACTACCTGTATTATAAAGCTGCTTCCTGTCTTTTTGCTTAAGCCACATCTTTTTTTAATAAAATTGTCTTTCCCTTTCTACTACTAAATTTAGCTTGGTTGCTATCAATGTAAATTTAATCTTGCAAGCGTTCGATGAGGATCTACTGTATGCCAAGTGCTGTGCATAGTGCTAGTCACCAAACTGTAAAATGAACTAAGCATAATTAAATTAAGCATAACTTACATCCTGAAACTAATTTTCACTTGAGTAAAATTATAAAAATAGTAAAGACAGCATTGTGGTTTATCAGAGCTCTTTGGGGGTTCCTTATTTATGGTTGCATGCTCTGTAGGGTCTGTCTCAGTACTTTCCTATAGTAGGGGTTCAGTAAATACTTGTTAAACTGAATTTTGTTTTTTAAAATGACTACACACACGTAACTTTATGAAACATTCCAGTTAGGAAGCCTAACTTTGGATTCATCATAGGGTCTGCTTGAGTCAGTGTACTTCCTTGGTACCCAAAGATAAGATTTGAATTGCAGAAATCTGTGTGCCAGTTTTTATGAAATCAGCAATTGATCAAAGCAAAGTACATTGTGATCTTGTCTTTCCCTGAGCTTAAAACCCTTTAGTGCCTTCCATTTCTCTTATGATACATAAATTATTCTTGTTAAAAGCTTCATACATGGTGCACACACAGCTTATTCTTACGAGAGTTGCAAGTTTACTTATGTTTGTGTGATTATTTGATTCATGTCTGTAGATAAACTTCACGAGTGCAGAGTCCCAGTCTTCTTGTGCTCAGTGTTGTATACCTAGCATTGGGCCTTGTGTATAGAAGGTGCAAATAAATGTTTGTTGAAGAAATGTACACATGAATTCAATATTGAGTTATCATGTGATTTACTAGGAGCCCTATGTAAAATGAGTAGTGTACAAAAGGAATGTATGATTTAATTTATATGTGTAGTTTTTACTACTTTTTGTTTTCAAGAATACATATTTGAATTTGCCCAGTAGAATTACATCATGTACATTTTTTAAAAAAATTTATTTATATATTTATATTGTTATTGTTGTTGAGAATATCACAGCAAAACCAAACCCCTTGCCGTCTAGTCAATTCCAACTGATAGTGACCCTACAGTACAGAGTAGAAATGCCCCAAAGGGTTTCTAAGGCTATAATCTTTATGGAAGCACAGTCGCATCTTTCTCCCACAGAGATGCTGATGGGTTCAAACCACTGACCTTTCAGTTAGCAGCAAGTACTTAACCACTGCGCCACCATTCTCAGCAAAACATATACCAATTCAACAGTTTCTACATACACAATTCAGTGACATACATAATGCACATTTCACTATATAAGAATTTAGCTCTGCACCCAGCTTACTAAGAAGAAAATCAATAGAAGTACCACTAAATCTCTAATTTTTTAAAGGAACCAGGATAAATTTGGTATTCATACTAAAGTATTCCTTGCCTTTCTCAACAGTGGTAAACTTTACTTTTTAAAAAAAAAAAAAATCAATTTTGTTTGACTGCTTTATGAGATCTTGAGAAATTTTGAACTATATCTAGAAAATCCCAGAGAACTCTAGGTAACATAATATGAAGGATTTTTATAGAATTATAGTTTAAAATTATTTTTAAAAATTCATATCTTAGGCTAAAATATAGTATTATAGACTATGCTTGATACAGCAAGACTAGTATTTTTATTTCCTGTTAATGAATATTAAAGAATTGAATAAACAGTTTTTAAAACAAACATTGGAATGTTAAAATGATAAACTTGTCAGAAGAAAAGGATCCTTATTATTGTTACTATTTTCGTTTTGGAAGATTTTTCTTTTAGCTCTAGGGACTTTTGTCCCATCAGGTTCTTTGGTCGTATTAGTCATTGTATTAAGATAGCATTTCCTCACATATTCACTCACTCAAAGAATTCAGTAAAACATTTTGTTAGTTTATGTTTTAAAGTTAGATTCTTCTATTTAATTTTAGTTTCAGATACAGCTGTTATTGTTGAATTCTGAAATATTTCTTCTTGCTCCAACTTCTATTCCCAGTGACCATTTTAATTTTCTATCAGAGATACGAGTTTTATTCCAGATATAAAATCTGTATGATTTGATAGTGCATCAGAGAATGAATATTTTTAATATTCATTTTCATACCAGAGTATCAGTCTTTTGCAAGTATATATCTCAATTATTTCAATAATGGGTACTTACTAGAGCTGATTAGCACAGAAGGTAAGCATATTATTTGAGTGGCTTATACCCTTCTCCATTTCAACTCTCTTTTTTCTGTCAGTCTTTCTGTTTAGCTAACTACCACCTACCAGTCCACTGGCTTAAAGCATCTACATTAATGTCAGGACATTTGAATGTAATTTCACAGAACAGTTACATTTTTGTTTTTTCTTTTTGCTGAGGGAGTCAGGATGGGGGAGGGGCTAGTTTACCTTTCTGCAGGTAAGCAAGTACAGTAAAACCTGCGAAAGCTGGGACCTGTAAGGTGGAAACCTGTCAGAGAAGGAAAAAGCAAATATTTTCCACTAAAACAAGCGTCAGAAAGCTTGTGAGACCCGGAAAAACAAGGCAGCCCCTTCAAGTTCCATCTGTCACAGGTTTCACTGTATTTTGAATTCTGTTCTCAATTCCAA